CTTGAGAAGCCCAGCAGCAGTGCTACCAGACAACAGTCCTTAGTCTCCTAGAAATGAACATAAGCATTTTATCATCCTCTTATTTTAAACATGATGCCGCCTGTCTCTTCTGGGTCCAATGAAATGAGAAAGTAGTAAAATTGGGTGTAACCAGAACAAAAGATTACTGGCAAAGAAGCACATAAACAAAACCTTTTCTCTGTTGATTTATTGTGAAATAACACTTATCTGTTCTTCCATTAAGTTAATTGCAAATCAATAAACATGTAAGAACCTCGATTCTGAGAGCATACTGTTTTAAGTAACTGCACATTTACCAGAGATTTCAAGTGGACAGAAGAAAAAGGTCAAATCCACGGGCCCAATAACTCACTCACTCCTCTCAAGATGACGCAGGGGCTTTCGTAGCTAAGAAAAAGCAACCAAGTACGTTGGAAGTTTCAGCTCGATCATGAAGACTTTCTCATAATCTCACTTCTTCTGTCCCCCACACCTGTGAGTTATGTGGAGCAACAGCGGGGTATTAAAATGATAACCCGACTTTAATTGGGAAGGGCTGAAATGTGGGGAGGGAACCTGGAGACTAGAGTGCTCTCGGGTATAATCCCGAACTGAGTTTCAGGAGACAGAAGAGGTGGACGGTGAAGAATCGGTTTTGGATGGAGCCACGCTGCCAGGCTTGAATCCTGGCCACCACTTACTAGCTGGAAACCTGGAGCAAATTCCGTCAGAGTGGTGGTTGTGAAGATCACCTAAGACTATCCATGGGCTGTGTCTCCGTCGAATGCCCACTGTCTTCCGTGGCAAGGACAACTGTGGTGCTAGAGACACAGGAGACAGCACCCACCCACGCCAGGAAGCCAGGTGAAAGGTCATTGTCAAGTGCGTAACTGTGCCAGTCAAGGATTTCTACTCAGCTAAAGCACCTGCTACTAAACTCACATTGTGTTTGGCATCAAATCCATCTCACAGAAATGTGAAAGTATCAAAGTGGGGCAAACGGGCTGGCAAAAAATACCAACTACAGACCATTTGGTTTTAAACATTCTGTTGTGCGTATTTTTAATTGCAGCATTGGGGTTTTGCTTATTTGTTTTGGTTCCTAAGCCCTCAAACTATCTTTTAAAGATGGAAAATATTTCTCTTGAAGATTACAACTAGCACACAAAGAACCCCAGCTACTCACTCCTCTCCTCCTTGGCACCCACTGACCACTGCCAGCACCCCCTCCACCCATTGTTCAGGTCCCGGAGAGCAGAGTCTTCGACGGCACTGGTTCTGGAATAACAGCACAATTGGTAGCACCCCGTAGCCGTCCGTGTTGAGGAGGGAATGTATGAGCCCCACCATCCTCACCACTCTTCTTGCCATGGACCAGCTCTCTGGTCCTTAGCCATTCTGATTTGCCCACTCTCCCTTTAAACACAGAAGTGCTCACCAGGTGAACTCACCTGTTTACCCAGTGTGGTACCTAGGATTGCCCAAGGGAACGGGGCAAAGCCTGCATTCGGCGGATCAGAAACATCTGCTTTGTACATAAAGTCATCCTTGAATGGCTTTGGAATAATATATTCCGTGGTTTTGAGGAACACATCTTTTAATTAGTAGAAAAGTCTACGTGGGAAGTGGGAAACCTTGTACAAGTTGTATGTGACTCGGTAGCAATAAAATAGAGATAAAAATGACAATGACCTCATGGTGTAAGGAAATGATGAATGTCCACAATAGCCAAACTGTGGAAGGAGCCGAGATGCCCTTCAACAGATGAATGTATAAAGAAGATTTGGTCCATAATACAATGGAATATTACTCAGCCACCAGAAAGGATGAATACCCACCATTTGCATCGACACAGATGGAACTGGAGGCAATTGTGATAAGTGAAACAAGCAGAGAAAGACAATTATCATATGGTTTCACTCATATGTGGAACATAAGCAATAGCACAGAGGACCATAGGGGAAGGGAGGGAAAACTGAAGGGGGGAAATTCAGAGAGGGAGACGAACCACGCGAGACTATGGAGTCTGGACAACAAACTGAGGGTTTCAGCGGGGAGGGGGCTGGGGTAGCCAGGTGATGGGTATTAAGGACAGCACGTCTTGTGATGAGCACTGGGTGTTATACGAAACTAATGAATTATTGAACACTACATCAAAAACTAATGATGTACTGCGTGTCTGGGTGGCTCAGTTGGTTAAGGGACTGCCTTCAGCTCAGGTCATGATCCTGGAGTCTCAGGATCGAGTCCCGCACCAGGCTACCTGCTCAGCAGGGAGTCTGCTTCTCCCTCTGACCCTCCCCCCTCTCATGTTCTCTCTCTCTCATTCTCTCTCTCAAGTAAATAAATAAAATCTTTAAAAAAAAAACTAATGATGTACTATATGGTGGCTAACTGAACTAAATAAATTTTTTCAAAAAAAGGAAATTATGAAGATAATGATGATAATAATGACTGCTTACTGTGGGCCAGGCATACTTCTAAGCCCTTTCCATGGAATAAAGCCAACAGCAAAATTCCAAAAATATTGGCCATTACCATGATTTCTAAACTTTCTGTTTAGCATTAGACTCTTTTCCCCAAACAAAATCTTACTCAGAACAGCATATAAAACAAGAAAGGAAAGAGAAGGGGGCGGGGGGGAGGCAAAAGCAGAGCTGCTCTATGTGTAGCTGGTGGGAGGGGACCTGGCTGCTGGGTCCCCCATTCCAAACTAGGCATTCCTGCCACCCCCGGCTATTTCCTAGGGACCACCCCGGGGTCCTGCAGCTCCTGAGGACATGGCTGCAAACTTGCAGTCTTTCTGGTGAAGAATCACAGCAGAGTCTGAACTAATCATAACAGTTAATGACCCGGAGGCTGGCCAGAGGCAAGACGAGCCAGGAAGCACATGCCCTCCTCAAGCGCCGGACTGCCAAAGGTATGCCGAGGATTTTGAGTTTCTCCTCCAGTGGGCGGGTCTCCCCTGCTTCCTCTTTCCTCCCAGTCTTGGGGACTCGGAGCATTGCACCAAATCATCTTGGGTGCCATTTCCCTGATATTCCAATTCTGACAGTGTCTTTCCCATCATACTGTGCACAGATGTTTAGTTCATGATTCTCAATATCCAAACACTTACAAAGAGTAAAAATGGCTACCAGAAAATTCTTTCCATCCCTACCCGCTCTGTGGGCTTCCTCCGGCTGCTGTCCATTTGGTTTTTATTGTCAAGTGTGACTTGTTAGCACCTGCTATTACCTCAGAAGTGAACCTTGGTCTCTCTCTTACCAAAAGAAGGGTAGGTAAAAATAACTTGCCCCCATCCTACCTTTGGCAACTGCTTTAAAACTCCCCCCACCCAACACCACCTGTAAAGAAGGGAAACTACGCTCCTTAGTCCTCAGAGGTTATGGGTTATGTTTTAGAGGGAAAAAAAAAAAGTTTTCCATAACCTGATCCTTGAATCACATTTTTCCACTGCTGCACACCATCTGCAGTCCCCATAGGCTGGAGCTGAGGAAAGAATTCTCTGGGCTCACAGTGCTGGCACACCTTGAACTTGATGCATTGGAAGGAAAAAATTCCTGGCCATTAGGTTAAGCCCAGAGTAGGTATCTTTCTGCCTCCCAAACCAGCTTTCTCCTGCTCAGGCCTACCTCCATTCCCAGCTTTGCTTTCCCTCCCAAAATAAGGCAAAGAGAGTGGGGGCGGGGTGGGGGTGGGAATCACATCATAAAAAGTTCAAATGAATACACCCACAGGAAATATTTGGCGAATTCTATAGTAATTCAAGGTGCAGAAAGGTTGAAAAAATGAGTTGATTTTCCAAACTTGAGATTGGGAGGTAAGTCAATCATAGAATTCTAGACTTGGGGGGGGGGTGTCTTATGGATCAGCTACCCCAACGTCCTCATCCATGAGAAGTCCAGAGTGACTGTGGCTTCTAGACACACAGTGCTGGGCAGAATGAGGTCGAGAACTCATGTCCTGACTCCCAGAAAGGCACTGTTTCCACCACACCCAACAGCTCAGGTGTGAATCAAAAGTTCCTGCTGGGACCAAGAACCCCAATTAATAAGCAGTCCTGGCACCTGCCAACTTCCCATAAACGCTGCAGTACCTCGAGCCCCAGCTCTGTGTTGGTGAACAGGCATGCTCCCCCAAAATCACCAGTAGGCTCACACCCCGGCGGTGGCCACCAGACAAACACGCAACGGGAATGTGCTCAAAACCGAGAAGTTGCTACATCCACCTTCCTCGGAGCTGGGACTGCCAGTTGACGGCGGGGAAGGAAAACAGCCTTCACCTCTACCCCAGCTACCGACGCGGAGAGCGAGACGCCCAGACACGGGGGGGGGGGGCGCCCCCACCTCTGCGCCCATACTTGAGCGCGCGACCCGTGCCATTCTGTGCTGCAGCTCCTGTCCTTGGTGACATTCTTGTTCAAAAGCCAGTTTTCTCTGTTGTTCAGCAAGTCTTGACTGCTGCGAAGGTGTGGGCCACATCCTCCACCAGCAAAGTGCGAAACCCGTCAACTTCCCCCCGCCCCTCAACTCCCCCGACAACAATCAGGTTCTCAGAGGGGACACTGAGAAGGGGACACTGCCTCTCCTCGGCGGCAGGGCCCGGCCCCCCAGCGGCTGCCTGTCCCCCCACCCCGTTCCAGCCCGCAAGACGGGCTCCCTCGTCCCAGGAACCTGCCCTCCCCGCCTCGGCAGGTCGCTCGCAGCCACGACCCAAACAGCTCTGCCTCCCGAGGGCATAGTTCCTATTCAGCTGCGATGCGACCCTCGTCCTAGACTGCAGCTCAAACCCTGCCGGGGGTGTTTGGGGGTGCAGCCCGTTCCCCCCCTTGCCCTGGGGCGCCCCCGGACCTTCCAACCCTCAGCGCGCGGGCGTCGCACCCCAAACCCGCGGACTGCGCCGACGGCCAGCGGAGGAGAGCGCGCCCCAGGCTGCCCGCCGGCCCCCGCCCGCTCCGCCCTGCCCCGCCCCGCCCCGTCCCCCGGCCCGGGGCCCACCTGCGGCGGGAGCGCGAGGACCCTCCCGCTCCCGCGCCCCCGGGGGGCTTCTCCGCGCTGCCATGCGGGCCGCGCGCTGCGGACGGGCGCGGAGCCTCCCCCGTCGGTTAGTCAGACGCCGCGGCCGCCCCCCACCCCCCGGCGCTGGGGATCGCTTCCCGGCTGCTGGCAAGTTCGCGAGGCGCGGGGTGGGGACGGCGGTCAGCGCTCCCTTCCCGGGAGCCCGGGGGCCGACTGACGCGCTAGGCCGCCAATGAGAGGCCGCGACGGAGGTGGGCGGGGCCTGGGGCAGAGGTGGGCGCGGCCTCCACGCAGCGACCGGGGTCCGCCGCGGCTCCGCGTGCAGTGCTGGGCGTGAGAAGCCGCTCCTCCGGAGACGTTTTGGGAATTTCACCTGGACGGATCCCGCGATCTCCCTAGCACTTTACATCGAAAGTCCATTGAGTGGGAAGCAAAGAAACCTGGTGGGTGGGATGATGAGGGAGAGGGACCCGTGCCTTTTTCCTCTCCATGGCGAGGGTACGGAAGGATTCCTATCCCTGGCCCGGACATTATCCACCAGCCGCTGGTCGGTCACGGCCATGGGAGGGCGAGGCTGGATCCAGATGTAGCTCCCGGCCCAGGGCCTCTTCCACTAGTTTGGGCAAATTTTTTGATCTTTATTTTCCCCTAGGTCAGCAGAACTGGGTTATGCTTACTCAGAAGTCACTCACAGTTTACTTTTTAGGAGCCGGAATCTGTGCGTTATTGACAAAATTAATCCTCTGATAAAATTGTTTATCAGAAGGAAAAAATAAACAGACCAACAATAAAAAGGCTCTCACAACAAGGTTCTTTGGCCCCTGATTTTCTATTCAGCGGGACCCTTTCTCAGAAAAAAAAAAAGGGGGAGGGAGAAAACGAAAGTCCTGGTGAACACTTCCTTTTTCTCCAATATACACAGTTCCAGAGAGAAACAGACTTGCATGTGGGAAGTTTGGACATCTTTTGAAACAAATCCCGTAACTAAAGAAAGATGTGGAAAACACTGGAATTTTAGGTGGCTCCAGTATAGTTAGGGCAATGTCAAGGGATGGAATCAGCTGCTTTTTTTCTGAATCTCAGAGCAAAGGATCGTAGGTCTTTGGCAACTCCATCCAACAGCAACAGCAATTAATTTACTGCTGGGCGTTTACTGACAGCTGACATCAGGCCAGGCACTCTGAGAATTCTTTTATGTTTTACTTTACATAATATTTCATTTAATCCTCACACGTGCCCATGATGTAGGCACTGCTACTATCTCCAGTGTACAGATAAGGAAACTGAGGCTCAGTAAATGCTAATGCAGAAGTTGAAACAAGATCTGATCTCTCCACCACCCCACCACTCTGCAACCCATGATTCACAAAAGATAATAAAAATGTTCCCAAACTCTGCTGCATGTTTAGAAAAAAAATCCCTTTTATCCAAATCATATGTGAACATAGGGGGTAGTTTTCTGCAGCCATAAACCATGACTTGCGTGTATTGAGCCATGTTACTCATACAAAGTAAATGGCTTAAAATTGCTGTGCCTAATTAAACCTAAACAAGGTTATGAGCAGTGATGAGTAAAATTGTCTATTCTAGAAGCTGAAAAGACCAGGACTGATTTCTTGTGGTATGATAAAATAAAATGTACTGAAGTCCTTTAACCACAAAACAAATTAGCCAGTAGCCTTGCCCCCCTCCGACAAGATAATATTTATGAACACAGCTGTTTGGACTCAGCCTGAAATCCTTTCAAATAATTCATGGTCAGGGTTTTGTGGTTTGCTGTAATGTTCATTGTTACTCCAAAAACTGAGTGGGAGGCCTCTTAAAATGGTACTGTACTTATAGTCCTAGACCTTGGAGCCAGACTGCCTGGCTTGGCTACATACTAGCCACACAATCTTGTACAATTATTTAAACTTTCCATGCCTCAGTTTCCTTATCTGTAAAATGGAGCTCCTATGAGTACCTTTCCCATGGGATTGTTGTGGGGATGAAGTGATTAAATATGTCTAAAACCCTTAGAGTAATGCTTGGCACATCATAAACACTATATAAATATTAGTCAAATAAAGGATGTGACTACATATCGAGATTCGGGCTTTTCTGGTCTACCCATGTGTGATTTACTGCAAGTCCTAACAAAACAAACCAAAAATGCCCCATAATTATAATCATAACTCCCCATTCTTTCCCTTTCCTGATCCTCAGCTCCTAACAAACATCATTCTACTTTCTGTCTTTGACTACTTTCTGAATTTGACGACACTTGCTACCTCATATAAGTAGAATCGTACGGTATTTGTCTTTTTGTGACTGTCTTATTTCACTTAGCATGATACTGTCTTTACAATTCATCCATGTTGTAGCCCATGTCAGAATTTCCTTCTTTTCAAGGCTGAATTATATTCCATTCCACAGATATATTTATATCTCACATTTTGTTTTTCCACTCATTGCAATGGACACTTGGGTTGCCCCCAAGTTACGGCTATTGTAAATAATGCTCCTATGAACATAGGTGTACAAATAACTATTTCTGAGTTTCTACTTTCAATTCTTTTGGGTATAAACCTAGAAGTAGAATTGCTGGATCATATGGTAATTCTGTGTTTAACTTTTTGAAGAACAGCCACACTTTTCCACAGCAGAAAACACTCTTGCCAACAGTGCATAGGATTCCAGTTTCTCCACATCCTTGCCAACACATCATTTTCTATTCTTCTAATAATAGCCAGCCTAATGGGTGTGAGGTGATTAGGGATGTTGAGTATCTTTTTATGTGCTTATTAGGCATTTGTATATCTTCTTTGGAGAAATGTCATTTAAGTTCTCTGGCTATTCATTGTCATTGCAAACATTACGCCATCATTGTTGATATCCATAAAAATTAAAACCTGAGAAACCCTTATCTCTTTCTACTTCCCTTCTGCATTGTATCTGAGCATATGTCGCTTCTTATTTATATGAAGTCCCTGAATTACTACAAATTTTTATTCCAAAATCAAGTAGGGTTAGTTTGGTTTTTTTTTTTTAAAGATTTTATTTATTTATTTGTCAGAGGGAGAGAGAGAGAGAGCACAAGCCGGGGGAGTGACAGGCAGAGGGAGAAGCAGGCTCCCCCGCTGAGCAGGGATCCTGATGCCCGACTGGATCCCAGGATCCTGAGATCATGACCCGAGCCAAAGGCAGGCGCTTAACTGACTGAGCCACCCAGGTGTCCCATGGGTCAGTATTTTTAACAGAGGAAATGTGAAGAGGTTTCTAGTTGGTCGTGATGGTGATGATGATGATAATGTTGGCAGAGCTTAACTGAGCACTTATGAAGTGCTCCCTCCGTTCAGTGCTTTTTATGTATTAATTAATTCAACCCTTCATTTGAGATATATACTATTATTATTCCCAATGTACAGGAAAAGGCACTGAGTCACAGAGGGTTTAAAGTATCTAGCGCTAGGTCATTCAGTTAGTAAATGGCAGCCTGGCATTTGAACCCAGCCTCCAGGGCCATATGGAAAGTATCCCCTAAAAAAAAAAAAAAAAAATCACTTCCCCTGAACTCAGTGATTCCCTGAAAGCCATATCTGATCTTTTTCCTGAATGAGCTGAGCCTAGAACAATGGTCTATCCTGCAACCTGCTACCCTGGGCCCCGGTGAGATGCCCCATGTCCCCCATCACAGCACGAGAGTGAGTAAGTGTGAGGACAGACAGTAGTGTGAGCCAAGGCCCAAGCTGTCACTGCACAACCCATGCTAAGAAACCCAGAGGGCCAAGGCAGGGATGGGGAAGCCGAGGTGTGACGTTTAACCAGGCAGAGAAGCCAGGAGAGTCCTTGAGGGAGGGGCCAACATGGCGGGAGCAGAAGCAGGTCTCAAGAGCCCAGAAGCTGTCCAGGAGTCCTGTGACTCCCTGCCGCTGGGGCCTTTAAGCAGTCCAAGCTGGGGCCTCCTGCTGTTAGTTCGCAAACTGACCCCTACACAGAAGCCAGGGGGAGACCGAAGGAAGAGGGAGCCACTCCAGCTTGGTAGGTGGCACTTTCAATAGGCAAGGGAACTCACTTATGAGGCTTGTCTTGGGTGGCGGCAAGACGATTAGATCTCCGCACCCCCCTGCCAAATCTTGAAAATGTATAAAGAGGCCTTAATTGGGTTCAGTCACGCATATGATCCAGATGGTATCAACAACACCTTCCTCTCTCCAGGCTATGTCCTTGGAACAGCTCCCACTGTGGGACTGGTGGGCAGAACACACATTCCAAGGACTGGGTATGGGGTGGGTGAGGAGCCTCCGACTGCCCAGGTCAAACAGCAGTTACATTCTCTTGACGACCTCCTCTAACAAATGGTACAATTCAACATGTGTCCCTTGGTCTGGGATTTTGTCCACTGTGAAAATAATATCAATCAACTCAATTACAACACGATCCTATCAGTCATTTACACCTTAGTGTCGGTAAACCTGGGATCTTTTGAAGAGCAGATGTTGAGAAGGAGAGTGCCAAGAGAGCCTAAGAGCTGGCTAATGGGATAAAGGAGGTCAGCTGAGAGCTGTAAAGGGAACTGAAAGATGAGGGGGTGGGGTGCGTGGAAAAGAACTTCATGATTTTGTCTAGGTCCAGAACTTAGCATTTCCTTATTTTATTATTTTTAGCAAATTCGATGGCTTCACTCTTCCCTAAATCTCTGACACCTGTCCTGCTGCAGTTTGTATAGAGCTGTGTTTGCTTACCACCTCTGGCCCTTTACCTAGGTGTTTGCACTACCTGGGTGGGCTTTCTCTCTCCCTTCACGGGGCTGACTGGAGTGGTCTTTCCCAACCCTGCTCCAGCCTGCTCTCAGTTGGGAAGCAATTCCAGACCACCCACAAGGAGTTAGCATCCCGGCTCCACCCTCCTGTGCATTCCTGCTCTTCCCACAGCACCCAGTGTGCTGCAAGCTACTTGTCTGAGTCCTCACCTCTCTCCACCCTTGACTGTGAGCCCGCAAGGATGTAGATCCGTGTCCTCTGGGTCTTCTGCTCAGTGTCTGGTGAACATTGAATGAGTGCTTGCAGAATGCAGCAGATGGGAATCCTGCCTTTCTTCAAGGGCTTACCAGCCTCTTGCT